CATCATACACACAGACCACTGAGAAGGACTGAGACGAAAGGCCCAGCCCGGGAGCCTAACGGCTAAAGGCCTCACCTTGCACGCACCTGGATCCCATATGGGCACCAGTTCCCGACTGCTCCATTTCTCTTCCAGCTCCCTGTATATGACCTGCGAAAGCAGTCGAGGACAGCCCAAAGCCTTGGGATCCTGCACTCACATGGGAGACCCAGAAGAGGATCCTGGCTCCTGGCTTCGGATCGGCTTAGCTCCGGCTGTAGCGGCCACTTGGGGAGTCAATCAGAGAATGGAAGATGTTCCTCTCTGTCTCTCCTTCTCTCCATACTTTCCAATAAAAAATGACTTTCTATTAAAAAAAAAATCTTAAAAAAAAAAAAAGAGCTGAGACAAAGATATGGAAAACTATAGCATAAGTTTTTAACATAGGTGCAGATAATGAGTAAAGTGACTTTTCACCACATGAGGGGGGATTCTTTTACGGCAAAATGATAAAAATATTGTTTAAGGAAGAGGAAATTGATCAGCAATAGCAGAAACTAAGAGCACTCTAGACTGTCTTTGAAACTTTTCAGCATACCTACAGTTATTCCAACAGAAAGAGGTTTGTTTAAAAGAACCAACAATTAAAAGAAAAACTGCCTGCAATCTCATCTCTTAGGTAAAATTGTACTGAGCCTTGATCCTGGTATTTACAGTACAAATTAGGATGTGCTGCTTTCAGTTCCTCCTGACACTAATTGGTGAGTAAAACATTTCCAAGGCCCTACATTATCCTGATAATCACATTTTCAAGGCTATACAATGAGAATCCATCATGCTGATGTGCCGTAATTTAGCAAACACATCCTCCATAGATCAAAATTAAGGGTGTGTTTCTGTTGTCATAGACAGCACTGCACTAAAACGTGGAGCTGTAAAAACCTTCTGTGGAGGAGTTAGTAGGAAACGCTACAGTGGCAAAGAACTTGCTCAAAGATAACATCTATGGTTTGTAACCTTGCCACCATTTAAGTGGCACGGTTAGGTTGAGCATTTAACACGGTTTTACATTCTCACCACAGTTACAACAGGACTGGATTTTGCTCTTGAGCTTCCCAAGTACACAACAATCCTCCAATGTGGCTTTAATTTCTAGCCTGTCCCTCCCTTTTGTTATTTTAAAAGGAAGAGCTGGCATAGCAGGAGGACCGGCTGCACAACATCTGTATTCCTCAGTTGGTGCAAGAAGGAATTAAGTGCTGGAGTCTTGGGGATTTGCAACAGTCACGTGGGTGCACGCTGCTCTGTCACCCGAACACTCACCTGCAGGCTCTCCGGGGACCCTGCGGCAGCCAGCGGCACAACCAAGCCACATGCAAGCTCACCTGAACTGCAAACGCTACTCTAGATAAATTAATAGCTATAGAGACCACTAGAAGGTCAGCATACAGCAAACTGGTTCTTAGGCCGAGGCTAGAAGCACTCTTAACATCACTCGCATGCTAGCTTGTTATTCTTCCAGAAGTACAGCAAGAGAGCATGGGTGACAGCATTCCAGAAGGACCTCCGCTGCATGACACTCTTGGTAAACAGGAAAGCAATTCTCTCAGCACTTGAGCTTGTTTTCAAACACAAGCAATGGAGACTTTGCCAAAAGAAACGTGTGAGTAAGGCAGAGATGACACAACAGCAAATGCAATGAATTAGCTCACGTTGGCTTTTTTGAAGACCCAAGCTGGCCAAGAGGGTGGAGAGAGAAGGTACCGAAGGGAGCCCTCCCTACGGAATCAACTTTCCCTAAAACCGATGAATCAACATAACGAAACTGTCTCAACTTTAAATTCTTACACACACACACACACACACGACATATTCCAAAAGCATCAACGTTTAACCAAATGCTAAGAAACAGAGGCAAAGACAGGCTCTTTCCTTTCAAGCACCTGCAGGACTGCCGAGAGAGGCACACATGAATCAGCACAGATGCCCACTGTGGACACGAACACAGGTGTCCACACGGGGCACAGGACTGGGCACAAGGAGGAACAAAAACACAGCAGAATTTTCTTCATACAGGGCACAGTGCCACAGGAATGTAACGACTGCTACTGTGCAGTGTTTTGCCTCGGGTTTTTGAAAGCGCTGTATTAATTGTGGTGTATTTTTTATGGATGATCGTCAGGATCAAACGGTCCATCTAAGCAGCAAAGCACCGAAACAAGAGAAATCACTGTGATAGAAAAAAAAAAATCTGTTCTTATGTGTCTCCGAAAATGGAGATGGCAATAAAGGCAGAGACACCCGAAAGCCTAGCACTTGGGGAATGCTAAACGCAGCCTGACGGTGGAAAACTGGAGTCATGAAAAATATTGTGCTTAAAAGGAGCACTTAAAGACGGGGAAATGCTTACCTAATAAGTGAACGCAACAAGGATGCTCTATGGTTGTGTTGAAAAAAAAAATGTGTGAAAAATGACAGTGGGATGGGGATTTGGTGTGCTGGTGGAAACACTGCCTGAGACGCCCACCTCCCACACTGGAGGGCCTGCCTTGAGCCCCCGCTGCGCTCTCAATTCCAGTTTCCCACTATTGCACACATTGGGAGATGGCTGGTGATGGCTCAAGGAGCTGGGCCCCTGCCACCCACAACCCTTTACAAGCTTTCTGCTTTTTTTTTTTTCCTCAAAACCTTGATTTTTTTTCCAACTTGAAAGGCAGAGAAATAGAAACCAGGAGAGGGATGGAGACATGGTTCATCAGCTTCTTTGCTCCCCACATTTTTCCAACAACGTGGGCTAGACCAGGCCAAAGTTGGGAGCCAGGAACTCGGCATGGGCCTCCCACGTAATGGCAGGACCGCAAGTACTTAAGTCATCATTTGCTGTCTCCCAGAATGTGCTTAAGCAAAAGTGGAAATAAAACTGGCATGAAGCGAAAGCCAGGCGCTTGGACATGGGATGTGCTCATCCTAAGTGGCATCCTGACCACTGCACCACATGGTCGTCCATTCTCACACAATGAAAGCAGCAAGGACCCTAAATGTGGGCTTTGTTGAGCTGCAGACAGTAACATTTACCAAGGCGAAAAATTAGAACTTAAATTCTTAAAATATTTTAAGTCTGGCATCCACTTAAAAACAATGAACTCCTTGCATGCTAGCACAACTTCTGTGGGAAAGCTTTCAAAAATTAAGAGAAACAGTGTTTCAGATTTCTGCAAACCTAACATCTGGCTTAATAAAAGACAGCTGGGTTATACAGCTAGCTACTTTGGCCTTCGATCTGCACCAGAACAGAGAAGTGTGTGGTAGCAGCATTTGCAGAAAATTACGGACACCAAATAATGGATCCAAGGCAAGCACAGTTTCTACAAAGTGCAATGTAAATAGTGCAGTTACTTTGGAAAACCGCCTAAATGTTAAATACAGGATTACCACCTTACCCACGAAAAAGGGAAACACATGTCCACGCGGAAACTTGGAAACTCGAGCACCAACGTTTACAGCAGCGTTACACAGGGGAGGCAGAGGCAGAAACCACGGAAATACACACTAATGACAAACAGACCAAGAACGCAACAGGTGCACACGATGGAATAGCTTGCACATAACACTGCAGGGCAGGCACCTATTGCAAAAAAAGGATGAGCCTTGAAAACAGGGAAGCACCACATATTATGATTCCCTGCATATGGAATATACAGAATAGGCATCTATAGGAACAGAAAGAACACTTGTAATTGCTTAGGGCTGATGACTGTTCACGGGTACAAAGATTAGAGTGTTCTAAAACAAGATTTTGGGGACAGCTACCAACTGTGAATACACAAAAACCCAGTTATGCACTTTGATTGCTAGTTGAATGTGAATTACATCTCAATAAGATCGTTATCAAAAATGTGTTGTATACTATAACGTGGAACCTGAAACTGTTTCAGCCAGAGAAGTGACAGCACGTGACTGCGCAAGTCACACCCTCACCTACACACCCCTGCCATTAGCAGGCTTGCAACACACTGCCTCTGTTTGCCCAGGTCTGCATACAATTCACACCTTGTCTTTCCATAGCTGCACTGCTAATCGGCTATAAAACAAGGGTGACAAGCTGTGTTTATACTCTATCTACTATCACGAGCCTGGAGAGTGAATTAATGATTGCTCCGGACAAGGAGCACAATCAGCCCAAGGTCTTCCTGTGCGCACTCTAGCGGGTGTGCTCGCTCACGCACTGTTTCGGTGGAAAACTCCCGCAGGCTTGGGAGACCGTCTCTCACCAAAGCTCCCTGCCATTTCTTCCAGAAACTCTCACACGCCAAGAAAACCAGAGGGTTCAGAAGCAGAGAAAAGAAATTCTATTAAGCCAAGTTACGCCCGCAAAAGGAGCACCTGGCACAACCTCTGAATCACTCGGGTGGACTCACCAAGGAGCAGACAAGCTAAAACCAGGAGCTGCTGGCTCATCTCCACGCCCCACAGCCAGCCCTCCCTCCCTCGTGTCCTCGGGGTGATGCGAGGACACCTCTGCACCCACCTCCCCAGCGCCGCTGCGGGGGCGATCTGGGAGAGCGCACGCGCCCCGGCAGGTGTAAGGCACAGAGGCACGGATGCAGGAAGTCTCCGCCGCTGAGGGGCGTGTCCCAGGGCCCAGCAACGCCTGTCGCCCCCGGGCACCCCAAGATCCACCACCCTTCACTCCCCTGGGATGCCCTGGCCGTCACTGACCTGCTTCAAGGTGCTGCTGAGGAAGTAGATGAGCGACAGCCCGAAGACCAGGGCAAGCACCCATCTCTTCCGCAGCAGCCGGCGCCACACCATGGCCGCCAGGTTCACCATCCCGGCGCGGACGCGGGGCGCGGCGGCCGGGGGGCGAAGCGTGACAGGCCCGAACACCCGGCGGCATGGCCCCTTACATGTCTATTAGCCCCATGCCTCTTGGGGTGCGCCGGCCTCGGAAGCTACAGTCCAAGTCCAGCTCCCGACAGGCCCCCGGAGCCGGCGCACAGCGCAACACGTGACGCCCCGCGCGGCCCCGCCTCCCTGCCCCTGCGGCTCTTCCTCCCTTGCCATTGGTTCCTTGCAGAGAAGTAGCGGCCTTCTATTGGCTGAAGCAAGTGGGCGGGCCGTGTAGCCAAGCGACCGGGAGTAGCCGAGCCGCGGTCCCAGGGAGCAACCTGGAGAACGCTGAGGAGAAACCGGAAGCACTCGGAAGTCACGTGTTGGCCGGGACGCGCGAAGGATTGGCTTGGCTGGACGTGAATGATACGGCTGTGATTGCTGAATTGTCTGGGCAGGTAAAGAGAGAACCGCTGTTTATTTTTTTTTAAACCGGGTTGGCCTGTGTGGTCCGCACTTGGCAGGCCCAGAGCGTTGGGTTCTGTGGAAAGCGCTTGCGGCGCTGTACCCGGTGCCCCTGCCTGCTCTCATAGCAAGCAATGCTTTGGGGCACGACTGACCACGTCGCGGGCCTCAGACCCTCTCGGCGCGGGCCTCCCTAGTGGGGTGGACTGAAAATAAGGGCTAACAGGTTCTGTCACAGGCTTCCCTCCCGCGTGCGAGCGTTTACTACAGAATTCCGTTTCGGAATCATTGACCTATAGCCTGCTTCCAGCAAAGACTGGGAAACGCCTTGGAAAGCAAGCATTTCCACCAGGAGTGAACCCTTGGAATGCTGTGTTGTGTTAGCTGCCAGGATTTGCAGGTGTTGGAGGAGGACGAGGACCGTGGGAAGCATTGATCCATAAGCAAATACTGGAAAACTCTGTTTCATGAGCTTTCCTTTGTGTTCGGACTTGGTGGACTGCTGACCCATGTCTTAGCACTAAAGCCAAGGAGGCTTGGCTGATGGGTTGGGTGTCTACTCGGTGACTCTAATAACAGCAACAGGACTGCCTGAAGGGGAGAGAAGAGGGGAAGTCTTCCAGCTTCTGTTTCATTCCTCCAAATGGCCGCAACAGCCAGAACTGAGCTGACCCAAAGCAAGGAGCCAAGAGCTTCAGCCGGATCTCCCACCTGGGTGCAGGGGCCCAGGGGGCCGTCCTCCACTGTTTTCCCAGGCCATAGTTGGATCAGAAGTAGAGGAACTGAGACATGAACCAGCACCCATATGGTATAATGGTGCTGTAAGGTGGAGGATAAGCCAATTGAGCCATCACATCAGTCCCATGAAGGTGACTTTTGACATGCAATTTCCAGAGCGAAAAGACAGTCAAAGGCACTAAAGCAGAGACAAGCTGACCGGCTGGACAAACAGGGAGTCACAGAGAGGCCGTGGAGGGAAATAAGGTTGAAAACAGGCGATACTGCTTCAGGCAGGACCTTTAGGCTATAAGAGCTTGTTTATTCTGATTGTATTGTGGAGGGCCCTGGGAGGATGCAACCTTTCCCCCCCCCCCCCTTCCCTAGTCAGATGACGATGGAGTGAAATATGTGACCCTAACTCTGCTTGAGAGTTGCCGAGAGGCAGCTGCCAGGGGATGCTGAGCTGATGAAAGCATTTGTTCATTGCAGCCAGTGGTGTTTTCAGACAGGGTTCAGGGTGTTAAACAGGTGTCTGTGCCATCCAGGATTTGGACACCCCAAGAAGCTCCCCCGACCTGTGCAGTTCTCTGGAGAAGAAGAGGAGGGGAGGCCTACTCTCTCCAGGATCCAGGAGTCACATCCCCTTCGGGAACACCGAAGTCTGCCCTGGGGATGGTCAGCATGGCGTTCTGAAGTCCATGTGGCTCCTCACAGTGAACCAGGTGACGTCTGTTCGTGAGAACTCACATCCTCACCGCCCCCTCCCCCGCCCCTCCTAAGGGACCAGTGGAGTTGCTGATGTGTCTAAGGTCCCATGGCAAGTTAGGGGCAGTGTCAGTCCAGCATCCTTGTTTCCTGACAAGCCCGCTGCTCAATGCACCTTGTCCAGTGCATTTCACTGCCTGTTCCTCTCCACCCGTGGGTCTCGTGAGTCATTCTCCCTTGGGAAAGGGGGCATAACACTTTTCCTTGTGCGGTTGAAAGTCAGAGTGAAGCCTGGGGGACACATAGAAAATCCTGGTGGGATTCTGGAACATCAGTGAGCTCCATGGGGGGACCCTCAGAGTCAGCCTTAGTGATGGTTCCTGTGGCAACCGGGTAAGCGGTGGGCGGGTTGCATGGTGGTGACTCACCTGTGTGTTGGCTTTCAGGTGTTAAGGAAGATGCAGAGACGCCACAGCAGCAACACAGAAAACATCCCACCTGAAAGGTAGGGATGCCCTTGTTCCCATCCACCTGCGGGTTGTGAGTGTCTAGTGGCAAAACGGAACCCCAAACTGGATTGAATAGTCCCTGCCTCTCTGAGTTAGGGGCCATGGAAGGAAGTCACGAGATGGTGGGAGTGGAAGCTGCTGTGCGCAGGGACGGCCTGGCAGTATGTTCCGAACCCTACAGTGCCTGTTGCTGTGGTGGTGAATTCTCCCAACCCTGTGACAGTTGCCCCCCGGGGGTGCCTTCTCACAGTGACAGCCTCCTGTGGGGTTCTGACTGCCAGTGCTGCCTTCATCCCTACAGGCTGCCGTTCTACAACAAACAGCAGTGCTTCCAGCCCTGGGGCTTCCTTGGCAGACAGGATTACTGCCACAGCTCTGCAGACAGTGACAGCTCCAGCAGAGTTGGTGTCTCTCTGGCGAGGACCTGTCCTCACCGGGTGTTAGCAGCCAGAGATCTCTCAGTGGCTTTTTTTTTTTTTTAATTGATTGGAAAGGTGGAGAGGCCGAGTGGCGAGAGATCATCCATCTGCTGGTTCACTTCCCGAATGTCCACAGCAGCCAGCCAGGGTTGGGCCGGGTCAGAACCCAGAGTCTCCCGCATGGGTGTCAGGCACCCAAGTACTTGAGCCATCACCTGCTGCCTCTTAGGAGTGTTGGCAGGAAGCTGAATTGGGAGTTCAGGGAGTAGCCGGGACTCAAACCAGGCCCCCCAGTACAGGATGCAGGTGTCTCTAGTGGCAGCTCAGCGTGCTACACCACTACCTTTTGTACCTGGGCACTTATCCCATTAATGAGGACTGCACCCCTGTGACCTAGTCACTCCCCGAAGGCCCCGCCTCCTAACTCCACCTTGTTGGATTTTTGGATTTCATTGAGGGACTGTGGAGGCCCACAGGCATTGAGTCCATAACAGTGGGAGGCCAGTGATCTCCCGGGGATTGATTTTTCTTGCTCACCTTTCCCAAGGTGGCAGGAGGAACAGGGGAATGTTCCATGTCCGTCGTATGGCAGCGAGGAGGGGACAGAGGCCACAGCCTTGATCGTGTGTTCATGAGATGAAAGGGGCAGGGTCTGGTGTACTTTTTAGGGCTGGCTGGTTTGTGTGAGGCTGCTGGGCCCAGGGGGCTGGCAGGGGTTCCCTGTTGTCTGCTCTCTGATATGCTTTAGAACAAAGGAAGGACTGGCCGCATGTGTGAGAGGCCAACCCCAGGCTCTTCTCTGAAAGAGCTCTGTGAGTTTTTTTTCTGAGTCCAGCCCCAGAGCCCAGGCTCAGGACTGGAGAAGGCTGAAAACCCAGGTGTGAGAGAACCCTGAGGATGTACCAGGGGCCTGGCAAAAGTATTCTAAATTTGCTCCCTTGGAAACTCTAGACATGAGTGGTCTTGACCCTCATTTGTCAGGTGGACAAGCGCTGTGCAGAGGGAGAAGATGGAGCTGGAGTTTGGATGTGGGCTTCTCCTTGCCATTCCTGTGTGCTGCCCACCAAATGCCAGCTATGACCAAGGTTTGCTTTTCTGGGGATTTGGGAGTCACTGAACGTGAAGGTTTCAGAGCCATGGGGTCCTTGGGCTCCTGAGGATATTCTAGAACCATACAGAATTCTGTGTTCCTTGTCAGTAGAGTGCTGTGGACATGAAGAAAGGTTCTGGAGTGGGCCTGCTTGGGTCTGACACCCCTGCCTCCACCCTGGTCCATCCTTTACCAGCCATGCAACACTCAGTCTCCACTGTGCCTTTTTTTCTTTACCTATAACATGGGGATTTTTCTGGTACCTAATTCTTGGGTGGTGAACAGGATTTAGGAGTTAGTGGAAGTCAGGTGCATACAGGAGGGTCTGACACAGAACAAGTTTTCAGTGAAGATCATGACCTGTGCCTAGGGCCATCCTTCCGAGTTCCTGCAGACCAGGCGACTTGAGCCACAGGAATTCTTTCCCTCAGTTCTGTGAGCCAGAAAGCAAGATCAGATTGTGTGTGTGTGTGTGTGTGTGTGTGTGTGTGTGGTAAGTGTTTGCTTCTGAATCCTCTGTCCTTGGCTTGTGGGTGCCACCTCTACCCATGACTTCACGTGGTCCTCACTGTGTGTCTCTGTCCTGATCCTTCATCGGGACATTTGTCCTAGAAAGCGAGTGCCCTAGCTCATTCTAGTTCTTGCTGTCTGGGTTAACACCTGTCTCTATAGGAGGTCCCATTGCTAAGTACTGGGGGGTCAGGACTGCAGCATAAAAAGTTGAGGGGTGGGCATGTGACCCAATGGTTAAGATGCCACCCAGGACTCCACGTCCCTTATCCAGTACTCAGGTTCCACTGTTGGTCTTCCTTCAGCTTCCTGCTGGTATGCACCCTGGCTGGTGGGGATGGGGCAGCAGGTGATAGCCCAAGTGCTTGCTGTCGGCTTGGCAGACCCTGATGGAGCTCCTAGCTCCTGGCTTTGGCTTAGCCCAGTCTCATCTGCTGTGTCCATGTGACGAAGACAATAAAAATAAATTAACATGCGCATTCTTGGCCCCTGTCCTGCAGAAATCGCACCCAGGCGCACAGCTCCGAGGCGAGCGTGGATGGGAGTGGTGTTTTCGAGAGTCTGAAGGCAGAAGCCACCTCCCCGCCTGCGCTCTTCTCCGGCCTCACCAGCGGCCTGCCCACCAGCCCCTTCCCTGCCAGCTTGGTGCTGGGCTCCACAGCTGGCGGTGGAGACGTGTTCATCCAGATGCCCACGGCGCGTGAGGAGGGCAGCGGGCGCAGCGAGGGTGGCACCTTCCACCATCGTCCACCCCACCACCACTTCCACCACGCCACTGGCACCCGCGGGGGCTCCCTGCTGCAGCACGTGGGTGGTGACCACCGCGGGCACCCAGAAGAGGCAGCTGATGAGCAGCCGGGGACCCCTGCACCTGCCCTGTCCGAGCTCAAGGCTGTGATCTGCTGGCTACAGAAAGGCCTGCCCTTCATCCTGATCCTCTTGGCCAAAGTGTGCTTCCAGCATAAGCTTGGTGAGGGCCTGGGGGCTCCACGTGGAGGAGCGCTGCAGCCTGCAAGGGGCGGGGTGGGAAGGGCCCTCCTGTGTTCTGTAAGACCTGGCTTCAGATCTGACCAACTGGCTGTGTGACTTAGGGCACATTTCTGGGCCTCTCTGATCCTCTGTTTCCTCATCTGTCTGTGAGGGACAATAATAGTTGTTGAACTGCTTGGTTGGTGTGAGGCAGGAGCAAGCATCAGAATAGCCAAGAACTCCTACTGCTGGGGCCTTAACCCCACTTAGCCTTGCAACACTGGAAACTATACAGAACCTCGTTCCTTCAGCCCATCAGCTATAAGATGGGGTTATAGTAGAATGTACAAGCTGCCCCGTGCCAGTCATGGGCTCTGGACCCAGAATCTACCATGTACAGATGGAAAATACTCAGAGAATGGCATGGTAGCAGGTGTTAAAAGTCATTAAGAGAAAGCAGAGCTCAGAGAAGGTACATGATTCACGTGCAAGTATCGGGCCGTCACATACAAAGGACTTGTATTCTCAAGTGTAGTCATTGTGCTTGTCAGTTGTGCAGGTTTTTCTTTGTTTGCTTAAAAGAAAAAAAAGGAAGATTGATTTTACTTATTTGAAAGACATAGTGACAGAAGGAGAAACAAGAGACAGAGCGAGATCTCCTAGCCACCGACTCATTGCCCGAAGGGCCACAACCACCTTGTCTGAGCCGGGCTAAAGACAAGAGCCCAGAATTCCACCTGGGATTCCCACACGGGTGGCAGGGTTCCAAGCACCTGAGCCATCAACTTACCCTCTCAGACACACCCATAGGGAAGTAGCTCAAAAGTGGAACAGCTCAGACCCTAACCAGTGGTCTGACATGGGTGCAATGCTCATGTCGCAAGCAGCTGCTTAACCTGACACTAGCACCATTTGTTTGCTCTCTTATTAATCAAAGAAAAGAGTAGAAAAAAAATGTTATGGCATTATTCATTTTATTTCTTGGATTGACAAATACATTTTTTACACATGGAGTATGTGGTTAATATTTACATCTTAGATACCTGAAGTATGCATAGCATTAAAATTCCAAGAACATTATATGAAAACAGAATCCTTTCTACAAAAAAAAAAAAACACAACATTTGAAAATCATTATTCAAGAAGCAGTCCAAGATTGAAGCTTGGCAAACAGTAGCAATTAAATGAGTTGTGGAATAAAATTCAGTTCCGTTCTCCCATCTGCCTGGGTCATGTTTGCCTGTTAGCCAGGATTTTTTCCCCCTTTAACATTAAATTTTATTTCCTTATGGTGTTGTGTTCTTTTTCTATATATGCTTTATCACAAATAACACACTTCAGATTTTTTTGAAAGTAGGAACAATGGTGAATGTTTGGCACAGCAGTGAAGACATCCCTTAGCATAACTGTATCCCATATCGAGTACCTGGGTTGAGTTCTCACTCTGCTCCCTATTCCAGCATCCTGCTAATGTACACTTTGGGAAATAGCAGGTCATGACTCAAGTGCTTGGGTCCCTACTGTTCATATGAGACCTAAGTTCCGGGGTCGCAGCTCCTGTAAACATTTGGAGCATGAACCAGCAGTTAGAAAATCTCTGTCAGTCTGCCTTTCAGATAAATACATTTTAAAGATTTGTTTATTTGAAAATCAGTTACACAGAGAAGGAGTGACAGAGATCTTCCATCTGCTGGGTCATTTCCCAAATGGCTACAACAGCTGGAGCTGGTCTGAACCAAAGCCAAGAGTCAGGAACTTCATCTAGGTACAGGGACTCAAGGACTTGGGCTGTTCCCTCTGCTGCTTTCCCAGGCACATTAGCAAGGAGCTGTATTAGAAACAGAATAACCAGGGCTCAAACTGGCACCCATATGGGATGTTAGCATTGTGGGCACCAGCTTTACTCACTAAGCCACAGCATTAGCCCTAATGAGTAAATCTTTAAAAAGCAAGTGAGAAGTGTAAAGCAGCATTGTTCCCAGCCACTGCAGATCATGTTCTCTAATTATCCCTTCACTAGGAAAGGACTGTTACTCTTCTGTCCATTTTACAGGTGAGGAAACTCAGGTAGAGTAGCTTACCCAGGCCCACAGAGAGGAGGTGGCAGGGTTGGGGTTTGAAGCCAGGTCTTGACAACCTGCCCAGTCCGTGCTCCCATCCTAGTGCTATGAATTATCACCCCCGGTGGTCTTACTGCGCCCTCAGCCAGAAAGGCTCAGGGTTCTCGGTGATTTCCATAAGAAGCAGGATCTTCTCCCCTGTGTGTGGGTAGTGTGCCTTCTCCCAGGGAACCCAGATGTGACTGACCATCATGTCTCACAGACTTGGGCTGGGCCTCATGAGACTAAATAGTGGTGTCGGGTGCTCCTGTGTCCCACAGGCATTGCTGTGTGCATTGGGATGGCCAGCACCTTCGCCTACGCCAACTCCACGCTCCGCGAGCAGGTCTCCCTGAAGGTAAGTCTCTGCCTGCAGGCTCACTTCACTACTGCAAGGGTCACAAGTTCACCCTGGGTCTTTCAGGGCCAAGTTCCTCCTGGAGGTCCCCAGAGGAAGGGTCTCTTTTGGCCTTTTCTGGGGTGTAGAGGTTGCTTGCCACCTCTAGCTTTGGCCTCTTCCTTCCTTCCTGTCACTTCCTGCACCTCCATAACCTTCCACGTCCTTCATCCTTGCATCTCACTTCACTTCACCTGTAAGGGCTCTTATGCTTATAGCGGCCTGCCAGTAGTGACTCCCAACCTCAGGCCAGCTGCAGCCAACCTTCTTTCCCCCTGACGCCAGGAGCCTGACAGTCACAAGCCTCAGGGATCGGAGTGTGGGTACCTGGAGAGCACCACCCGTCTTGTCTCTCCAGGCAGATCCTTGGGAGTGCCCTCTGACTCCCCTGCACCTGTCCACAGCAGTTCCTCTAGCCTCTCATCCACATGCCCCAGTCCAGCCTGTTCTGTCCTGACATTCAGCCCATTGGCTCGCCCACATCCCATCCTGAGGGTTAGGACCACTTCCATTCCACTACTGCTGCCCCAGGGACACGGCCACAGCACTGTCTGCCATCAGCTCAGCACTGAGCCCCTTCTCATCTGTTGCAGATGCAGCATAGCAAGCAGGAGGGGACACACTCTGGGTCTGTTGTCCTAATTATGGAACAGGCTAAGTTTCTCACTTGAAGTCACAGCTGTTGAACCAGCCAGTTGAGAGTCTGTGCTCATTGTTGGTGCAAATCCAGCTCCACTACCCACCTGCAAGCCTTCAGGTGGATTCGCCTCTAGGAAAGGGGCTATCAGTGTCCTTAATAAGGATCCATTTAGATTGTGCAACCTTAGGATTATGTATAACCAAAGGCATCCAGTAGAAACCATGCTTTGGGATCCTTCCCCAGTTTAGCGATACCCAGTCGAGTCCTCTTTGGGATGCCAGGCAGCCGTAGCAAGCACAGCTCCCAGTCAGCATCACTGCCTTGAGGAAAACAACTTGTGTATAGACACTGTGCCCAGCTTGGAGCTCCAGAGGGTTAGGTCTGGGTGATGTGTTTTGACTTGTGATTCTGGCTTAGCATGGAAGTATCAGCATGTAACCCCACTGTACTGTGAGTGAAGGGGCACCTGTGCTCATGCCCATTCCTAGACCACTCTGGAGGAGTAGTGAGATGGCACATAGTAGGTGATTCATGCAATGCCTGGTGTGTATTAGAGGCAGTGTTTAGTTGAGCCATGCTTGCACTGCTGCTTGTAGCCATCTGTTATGCAGCATCAGCTGCTTCCTTACTAGCACTTGGTCCTCCGTGTTACATAGATGGCAGTTCAGTCTCCATGGGCACCAGGGTTGGACCCAGAGCCAAAGATTCTTCTTGACCCTTAGTCTTGTATTGGCACAAATCCTCGTCTGCTGCTATCTTAAACAACAGGTGAGTTCAACTCCATACAGAGAGGAGATGGAGGCTACCCCTCTCTCACAAGTGTAGCAACATCCAAGTGGTACCTCGATATGGACGTTTTAGGGGCCAAGTGGATGCCTGCATCCCTGGGCAGGCCTGCTGGGGGCCTGAACTCTATGAAGACACAAGTGTGTTGCCAGCTTGTATTTCCTGTGAGAAAAGAGTCTGTATGACCTCCCGTAAGTGTAGGCATCAGAGCTTTCTGCTTGAGAGCTGCCCCTTTTGTCCATCTGAATGTGTCTCCTCAGTCCCTCTCTGTCCCACCATTCCTTTGAGTCTGAAGAATCAAACTGGGATCTATTATTTATCGGGGTAAAAGGGCTGCCAAGTGGATTAATCACACTGATAAGAGCAGTCAGTTAGTTGCAGGTGGTTTTCAAAATCGTTAACCTTGACCACTCTTGGCATAATGGGTGGCTGGAGATGCATTTGTTTCGTCCACTCCTTAGAAATATGTGTCCAAACAGTGCATGGGGCGCTGGGGCTGTGTCTGGAGACAGCACGTATTGAGCATTTACCGAAACCACAGGGAAGGTTACACTGGGAAAGTTATGACCTCATCTTGTTCCAGCAATGCAGCCTCCTGGTCCAGGAAAAGACAAGCTTTTGACACTCATCAGCAGAGGGGTCCACAGGCAGGAACACACCCATGGCTACGCCCACATCCGGACAGTTCTTAGGAAGGCTCACTTGCCCAGAAGCTGCAGAAAACAGAATGTGCTGTGACTTTTTTTTCTGGGCACTTAACAGGAAGAAAGCTAGGAAAAAGAGAAAGAGCCCTGGATTGTGAAAGGTGTTGATGGTCATGTGCGTGAGTTTGAATTTGATGCTGTCAGCATAGACCAACGGCAAACAATCAGTGTGCGGTGGTGGTGTAAATGTGTTAGAAAAAGGGAGACCAGTAGTTTCCAGCTATGAGTTTACTGCTGGGCCCCACCCAGGGGCAAACCTGAGATGTGAGTCCGTACTGCACTGGCTATTCATTGAAGTGATAGACCAAGAGAAAGTCAGAGCTCTAGAGAAAAAGAGCTCCCCTCTGCTTCCGCCCGCATACCCACAATGCCTGTGGCTGGGCCAGGCTGAAGCCAGGAGCTGGGGACACAGTCCACATCTCCCACATGGGTAGCAGGAACCCTACTGGGTCTGTGTGAACAGGAAACTGGATCAGAATCAGATGACGACCCTCTGAGGTGGGATGCAGGCATCTTAATCATGCCGCCAAAGGCCTACCCCTCAGCTGAATATTTAGGTGTATAAATTTGACCTTCGTCACACCCTAACTTTCAGATGAGGACAGCAAAGCTTGGGTGTGTGCCCTTGAGCAAGAATTATCTAGTGTTTTGTGTCTTAGTTGCTGACAGTGAATGTAAACTGCCACTGCCACGTGCTTGGCACGCTCCCAAGAAACACTGGTGTACATGAGTTCTCACGGTCTGTGAGACAGTCAGTCATGCAGGCAATCTTCACAGAGTTCCTGGAAAAGGAAGTTAAATGCATGTCTGTTAGCAATGTTATTTTCCTACTATATGGAAAATACAATAATAGAAAAAAAAACCTATGCATGGCTTATATCTTTTTGTTTCAAAATAAACTCATACCTTTTTTAAACTCTTCTTTATGTTTCTTTATGTTATCTTTCTTCTTTATGTTTGCTTTTATTTACTATACAAATAAAAATACTTTTTAGTATATAGTGTTACTAGTTAGTATATAAATACAAATATTTTTATTTATTTGAGGGGCAGACAGAGGCAGATCTTTCATTTGCTAGTTCAATCCCATAAAGGCCCATAGCAATGTGGGCTGACTCAGGCTGAAGCCAGAAATTGGAACATTAATCCAGGTCTGCCGTGTGGCTAGCGGGGCCTCGAGCCGTAGCCGGCTGCCTCCCAGGGGACCCACTAGCAAGAAGCCAGAATCAGTTCAGTGGGGACTCAAAACCAGACACTTTGATATGGCATATGAGTGTCCAAGTGCCCCAAATACCTGCCCTAAACTCCTACTTTTAATCCCATTTTTCCCTGAACTTTGTGAGGTTCTCTCCTCTATACAAATGTGGAAAGGAAGTGTAAGTCACTTGCCCGTGGCTGGATGATTGCCCATAGCTGACTGCGGATTTGAATCCAGGCGCTCTGGCTCTGAAATCTGTTATGCATACCACAGTGCTTTCTAGTCATTCCAGAGGATTCTGCAAGACAGTTTACACCTCGTTCCCTTTTCTGTAACCACTCATGGTTCCCAGGTGGGTAGAAAGATGCCAGTGCCCTTCCCATTACTATAAGCCATGCTTCCTGTAAAACTTTGAAGATTCCGCAGGGAACATTCTAGACTGTTCCATCTCAGTGTCCCCACATGTCTCTTGCTTTGTCTCTAGGAAAAGAGGTCGGTGCTGGTCATCTTGTGGATCTTGGCCTTTCTGGCGGGGAACACCCTGTATGTACTCTACACTTTCAGCTCCCAGCAGCTGTATAACAGGTGAGCACAGCAGGATTGGGGAGCTTTGTGGGCTTGAAGCACACACCCTTCGCTTAGGAAGGATATTGCAGCTCTGTCTCATGAGACCTACTGTTTGTTCGCATGCTTGCCTAGAACAGCTCTCTCTATTAGAAATACAGTACAAGCCACACAGGTAAGTTGACATTTGTTAGTTCCCACATTAAGAAAATGAAAAGGAAACAGGTGAAAGCCATTTTAATGAGAAATTTATTTGACCCAGAACAGATGGCTGTCCATATCTGTGGATTCAACCAGCCATGAATCAAAATCTTAAGGGATAGGTGTTCACTGTGATGGTTAGGCGTCACTGGGGTGTCTGCATCAGTTACAAACACGCTCCAGACAGGTGGCTTCAGGAAGCGGCCTCAGCTCTACAGCTTTGCTCTGACGCTATTTTTCTGTGCCTCAGGTTGACTCAGCCCTAGCTTGACAAGGGTGTAGAGCTCTGTGCCTGGGAATCTGATCAGGCCCAGAAATGGAGACAATTTTTGTGAATAGTAACCATGTCTCACCCATTTGGTTTGAGCTGGGTAGAAGCAAGGACACAGGGAGGAATCCTTGCTCTCCACCCACAACACGTGTCATATAATTGTGGTCCTTCCTATGTAACCCTTTTTTTTTTAAAGGTTTATTTAAAAGTTGTGGATATCACAGGCACATGTGAGACTTGTTCAAGGATGGAGAGAATCAGAAAGAGAAGGGAGAGAGTGGGAAATGTTTCTGCCTCTCATTCTGTGTGTACTGGAAGAGAAAGATTGTCCCTCCCTGTTGCCAGTCATCATATGATCTTGGAAAGGAGTTGGTTTCATGATACCCCCACAGGTTCCTGGTTAGGGAAGTATTTCCTGGGGTATTGATAGGTGGGTGGGATTTACAAACAGCCTGGGGAGTGTGGCTTCCAGTTTGGGAACCTAAGCTAGCTGCCTACCTGTCCCATTTAATTTCCAACCACAGAGATTTTCAGCTCCTACTCTAAGGATTCCTGCAAGAGGCAGGTTCATCATACCTTCTGTAGTTACTTCCTGCTTATTAGGGTCATACGCTTGCCTATCCTGAGTTGAGAACTCTGTCTCATATAATAGATCCCTCTCTTGGGCCAGAGAATTTCCACTCAGTGCCAATTTCTATGTCCCCTGCATCTTTATTATTACTCTACAATGTTGTTGGCTATTTTGCACTGAAGTCAGCAATGTACATAGTCCAGTCATGCAACCTGTATGCCAGGGCCAGACCACATACTCATGGGTCCTAGATGCTGAGATCAGAGATTCTGACATTTCTGAGGCCAACATGAGATGAAAGAACTTGCTGCTTGCCAATGCCAAAAGCCATTGGTGGATCTACTCTGATGGTGGATGCTTCAGCCTGTTGCAGGGAGCCAAGCTTGTCAGCTCTTTAGGCCTCTGGCCCTGCCTGTCCCTATCCCCAGCTCTTGCACACAGCAGCAGGTGAAGCATTCTGGCCCAGGGAGGCCCATGACTGCAACTCTACCACCTTAGAAGCCCACAGTGGCCCTTACCCCAGCCTGGGGTCTCCAGCAAGCAGGTGGTGGCAGTCTGCTCCCCCAGTCCTGCAGATTTAATGTTAAACAATTAAGCAACTATGCTGGTGGCACACTGGTATAGTTAACACAGAGCTGGCATGAACCAGGCTCAGAATGCCAGCCAGCTATTTGCCTTTCTCTACAACACTTATACTAGGTACAGGGCAACCTAGACAGTTGCTTCCAGCTGCGGTTGTGTGACTTTTTTACTAAGAGATCTGAGTAGCATTGTGGCAGGAGCGGGGCCAGAGAAACAGAATGAACATGTAACTGTGAGTTATCATCAACTTAGTAAAAATATTCCTACCACCCAGCAAACACAAACAGATTTAAAGCAAAGGGACTTTTTAAAATTAAGCTTACTTGTTTTAAAATGAAGATTAAGGACTATGATAAGAAAAAAATGCCAAAAAAGGGCATTTGGGCTACAGGCTTAAGCCAAAGAGAATATTTACCAGGCATTGCTCTGTGCGGGGCCTCAAGCAATCTTAGGAAAAGCAAATCAGCTAGGCCTAGATAGGAGGAACCAAGGAAACTCTTGGAATTTGGCAGTCAGAATTAATTCATGGGCAGCTCTTGAAGTCCAGCTCTCAGCATGATTTAACTTTTCACTAGCTATCCCTTTTTCCTTTAAAATCCAGGAGAGGGAGGCAGGCATTTGGCTCAACCCCTAAGATGCGTCTTGGGACTGGTGTATTGCCTCTCAGAGTGCCTGGATCATGTCCTGCCTCCGTTTCTGATCCAGCTTCCTGCTAATGCCCACTCTTGAAGGCAGCAGATGATGGCTCAAGTGCATAGATCCTGCCCTTGGAGATCTGAACTGAGTTCTGGCTTTGGCCTGTCCCAGCCCCAGGTATTACAAGCATTTGGGGAGTAAACTAGTAATAGAAGATCAATTGATCCCTCATCCTACCTTTTTTTATATTGATAAACTTAGATAATAAATTTGAGAGAGTAAGCATTTGATGTAGTGGTTAAATTTACCACTTAGGATACTCACATTTTTATATCCAGAGTGCCTGACTCAAGTCTCAGCACCTCCAGTTTCAGTCCAGCTTCCTACGATTAGGATGGCAGCAGGTGCTAGATCAGGTAGTTCAGTCCTGGCAACTGCATGAGTGAACCAGATTGAGTTTTCCCACTTTTGGCTGGGTCCTTGCCCAGCACTGGTCTTTGTGGGTGTTTGTGAAATAAATTAATTGGTGGAGTTAGTTCCTTCTCTGTCAGTCTCTTCCATCCCCTTTCTGGGGTGTGTGTGTGTTTGTATGTGAAATAAATAAATGCATTTTTAAGAGTGCTGGAAATGACTGAATGTGACATGTCACCCGGTTGCAGGTGATCACTGTGAATAGCAACCATCAGGGGTGTCCAGATTGAGAGAAGATGTTTTGGTGGGCACTGAGGAAGACTGGCCAGTTAGAGCCCAGTCAGAGCTGGAACTCAGGCTTTCAGATCACATCCACTCCCACTGCAAATGGACTTTGAGGAGTGAGCAGTTCCTGTGTTTCCTGAGGCCACCTCAGAAAGGCAGTTGGGAAAGTTAGTTCCAAGGCATGAACATGCAGCTCCTACCCTGCATGCGTGAGACAGCATGGGGTGCAGGAGACCCAGGTCCAGGGGCAGAGGACAGCAGGGAGGAGGGGTTTCCCAGAACCATGCTTGAATTTCCAGCTCATGCCATTTTCTGGGCACAATGGGACTCCCAGGCACAGACCTCTATGCCCCTGTCAAGCCAGGGCTGAGTCAGACTGGCAGCACAGAAAGAGAAAGGGAATGCAGCTTAAGAGCAAAGCTGCAGAGTGGAGGCATCTTCCTGACGCCACCTGTCTAGAGCGTGTTTGTAACTGATGCCAGCCACCATGATCTCACTCTGCTCGCACGCATGTCTGGCAAAGTAGAGACTTCACTGAAGCTCTCTGTGTTGTTCTAACAAAATACCAGAGGCTGAACACCTTAGGTTTCTAAGCTCAGGGTTCTGGAGGTCGGGGGTTGGGCTGTGGCAGGGGGCCTCACAGTGGTTGGCGCAGCAGTGGTGGGCTCCTTTGCGAGTCAGGAAGCCAGGGAGAGGACCACCCTTCCCGTCACCATGCTGAGGAGCAAGCGTCCAGCACACGAGTCCTTTGGGGACAAATCACATGCCAATCATAGGCCCTTCCATGGGAGGCAGCAGGTGGTGGCCCGAGGACTTGAGCCCCTGCCACCCGTGTGGGAGACCCGGATGGAGTTCCGGGTGGTTTCGGGTTGGCTCAGCTCCAGCTGTTGTGGGGCATTTGGAAAATGAACCAGCCAATGGAAAGAATGTGTGTCTGTTTCTCTCTCTCTCCCTCTCTCTCTCTGCGTTTCAAAGAAATTGCTCTTAAGAACAGTTTATTCCTAGGGTACTACAGTTGAAAGGCTTATTTATTTATTTAAAAGGCAGAGTTATCAGACAGAGGGAGACACAGAGAAAACTTGCATCTGTTCATTCTCTCCCCTAAATGGCCCCATCAGCCAAGGCTGAGCCACATCGAAGCTAGAAGCCCAAAACTCAGTTGGATCTCCCAGAGGGATGACAGGTGCCCAAGCATTGGCCCGTCTTCTAACTGTTTACTCAGGCACATAAGCAGAGAGCTTAACTGGAAGTAGAGCATCTGGAGCTTGAAACGGCCTCCATATGGAATTCCAGTTTTGCAGGTGGTAGATGGACTTGATGTTCCATAACACCCACCTTTCAAGTAAGTAAATCTTAGAAGAGCTCTAGTTTAGTGCTTAATGTGTCCATTCCCCTCTCTCCTTCCTCCTCCCTCTGGTACATCCTGTTGTGGACTCTTAGAAACCAGAGGGGAGCTTAACGATATTCCTAGCCAATCTTGTCACTTGACTCTCAAGGGACTTGAGGCTTAGCAAGGTTGAGGGACGTACCTGAGGTCCCACAGCAGGTGCATAGCAGATTCAGGCACAGGTGTCTGACTCCCAGTTCAGTCTGCTTCCACAGGTGACAGCTGTGGGGCTCCTTGGTGCTCAGTGAAGCTCATGACTCTGAATCCTCCCCACAGCCTTATCTTCCTGAAGCCCAACCTGGAGACGCTGGACTTATTTGACCTGCTGTGGATCGTGGGGATTGCAGACTTTGTGCTGAAATACATCACCATCGCCCTCAAGTGCCTCATCGTGGCCTTGCCGAAGATCATCCTCAAAGTCAAGTCTAAGGTAAGCTGTGCTTGTGGCTACACGTCGTCCTGCTTGTGCTGATCCTGCAGGGGATTCAGGGTGTCGTCCGAGCCAGGGCAGAGCTGATGTCAGTGCGTGGAATACATGGAGTCACTGCCAGTGGCACCCGCCAGCCACCGTCAGCTTAGCCATTTATCCATGGCTAAGCGTTTGGACTGTTTTCACTTTTTTGGCTACTCTGCTGCTATAAACATCTGTCTCCAAGTCCTTGCCTGAACACAGATTTCTTGATAAGTGGCTAGGAGTGGATAGTTCTCAAGTCGTTCTGTTTAGCCCTTTGGGAAACTCTCAGACTGGTTTTCTGTGGGAGCTGAGCTGCTTTCCATTCCTAGAAGGAGAAACAAGAGCAAGGAGAGGTTAAGAAAACAGCCCAAAACCACACAGCTTGTTAGTGGCTTGACAGGGATTTGAACTTGACTCCAGGGCCTCTCCTCTGTCCTCATTCCCACAAGAATTCCCTGAGTTAAGGACATTCCTCAGAGTTGATTCCAGAAACAAGTTCCCTACACCATCTCCATTTAATTCCCCCACATCCAGTCAGAGTCTCCTCCCTCCCTCACTTCCTTCCTTTCTCTCTTCCTTCCTTCCTTCCTTTCTTCCCCCTCCATGGGCACTACTGGGGGTGAAGGCCAGGGCTGCATCCGGTTACACCTTCCCTGCGCCTCCGAGGTGTGAGCGACAGTTACTAATGCCTCCCTGGCTGCCGTCCAGCTCCCTTTTTCAAATTATTATTATTTGATTCGGCGAGATTGATGTGCCGGGTCAGCGCACCATACAGGCTGTGAGAGGAGCTGTGAAGGCTGTGCCCAAGATAAATTGCAGGCCTGGAAGGGGTTCACAGCCTTTCCTTGCCTGTCTGAGTGCTCTCCCAGATCCTCATCAATCCTTGTCTAGGGGGAAGAAAAGGACGCGCCTTGTCTGCAGCTGGCATGGGAGTGGGGGCCCAGCACATCTGTCAGGGACCCCGAGTGGCTCACAGCCCCAGATGCTCCTACCCAGGGCTCCCTGCCATCCATGGAGCAGGCGGGTTGGTTGTTAATATCATAATGCCTGCGTTGGAAGAGCTGTGGCATTTAGGTCTGCTTGATGGTCTTGACATGTGAGGCCCAGCCAGCCCTCTTGTCTGGGGACTCTGGGATTCCTTTCATTTGCTTCCTCCTCTTAATCAGTCCTCTGCCAGTACCAATTCCCAAATGCCCTCTACCCGCCCACCCAAACCAGAAAAGTCCATCAGGAATCTGCACCTGGGAGTCCAAGAACACCCACTCTCACTGGCCAGCCAAGAGGGTCAAAGATGGGGCCCACTGATCTGGGACTTCATCCCCAACCATCCCGCTGGCCAGGCGCCTCAGTGCCACCTCTCGTTACAAACCTAGCTAACTGCTCTATAGCTTGTGTGTCTTGGCCTCACCAAGCCTGGCTCCCTCTCCACCTCTTGGGACCTCATCACCCACATCACGTCCCTCTCCCTTGCTCCCTGTGGACCAGTCACACTGGTGACTGACTTCACGGCACCCTAGTACACCCATCGCCTTCCCTCTCAGGCTGCCAGCAGTTGTACCCTTCTCCTGAGGTCCCAGAGCTGTCTCCTTATTAATCAGTTCTAGACTGCAGTGTCACCTTCCCTGAGAAGTCCTCCCTGACCACACAGTTGAAAGTGGTTTTCTCCATTTGTTTTTTTTTTTTTTTATCCTCCTTAGCATGTTAGGATCTGAAATGATTGGGTTGCTTTGTCTTTATTTTCTGTCTCCATCACTAAACTTGAAACTTTCAGGCATGAGGTCCCTTGGGTCTCTCTCCTGACCCACAGGGAGCACAGTATAGATGTCATGGGCTGAACCAAGAGCCTGATCTGTGTTATGCTTGCCTCCTCCCAACTGCCACTGCTGCCTCTCACCAGCTCGCACATGTGTCCAGGCCTGTCTACTTGTAGGGGCAGTGCCAGGTCCCAAAATATGCAAGTTGGATACCTGACCTACCATCCACCCAGTCTCTTGGATTCTGCAAATGAACATTGTTTTGTTTGTTTATTTGAGAAGAAGAGATACAGAGACAGTGAGATCATCCATCTGCTGGTTCATACCCCAAACGCTCAAAATGGCCAGGGCTGGGCCAGGTTGAAGCTGAGAGCCAAGGACTGAATCCAGGTCCCCACCACGTGGGTACCAGAAAGCCAACTACTTGGCGCATCACTCCTGCTACCTCCCAGTGTGTGCATTAGCAGGAAAGATGATATGCAAGTAGAGTCAGGCATTCTGATATGGGATACAGGCCTCCTGAGTAAGCTCCCTGCCCCTGTCTTTCTTTTAACCTCATCCAAACTTAGCTAAGAAGCCAAATCCCCTATCCCCGAACATTCCTTATCTTAGTGTTTTGGCTTGAACATCCCTTATCTTAGTGTTTTGGTTCTAGTTCGGCTTGCCTAACCGAAGCTTCTGACAAGAGGCTCTGCCAAGGTCAGATTCCCTGAGCTTCCAGATCTATTGGTTTTACTCTGAGGTGTGGGCATCATGAAGACAATGTTTGCCAGACGTAAGAACTGAGATGATTCATGGGACATGTTGTGCCATTAAAATCCCTACTTTTTCTAGGTCCTGAACCCAGCACTTGGGAAGCTTTCCATTGGTTGTGTCCTTTCCCCTCTTGGAGGCCAGATATCTCTCACTCCCCCTCTTCCTGCCCTAGCAGACATTTGTCTACACCTGGGCAGCCCTGTGTTTCCCTGGTTTACACTGTGGTTCTTATAGCACTCCTTCCTGGGTGCAGAGATGGAAGGCCACCCCAAGGAAATGAGAAGCTTCCCGGAGAGCTAGCCACACCTGTTGCAGCTATAAGAGACACATAGGGCAGTTCTGGGAGCAGTTTTAGTTGTAGTCAAGCACAGAGCCAGACAAGCTGTTCACACCCTGCAAGAGAGAACCATTTGGCACCAGTGGTAGTAGGGCTGAGGGCAGGAACTCTGGAATAAAGCTTTGCTCTAGGGCCCAGGGTCAGCTCCCCTAATATTATGAGCTGAATTATGTCTCCAGAAACTTCTTTGTTGAGTTTCCTACCTATAGTACCTTAGGATGAGGCTGTATTTAGACTTAGACTTATTAAGAGGTAAAGTTAAGATGAGGTTAGTAATGGCCTGCACTTAGGCATAGCAGGTAAAGCCACTACCTGCTGTGGTGCTGGCATCCTAAATGGGCACTGGTTCATGTCCTGGCTGCTCTACGTCCAATTCTGCTCCTTGCTTATATGCCTGGGAAAGCAAAAGAAAATGGCCCAAGTATGTAGGCCCCTCTACCCACCCACATGAGAGACCTAGAAGAAGTTCCTGGCTTCTAGCTTCAGATCTGCCCAGCTCCGACTGCTGTAGCTATTTAGGGGAGTGAACCAGTAGGTGCAAGATCTCTGTCTTTCTCAGTAACTTTGCTTTGCAAATACAAATAGTTAATTTTTAAAAAATCCGCAAAGTAAAAACACGTGAAATCAGTGGGTGGACCCTAATCCAATATGACCACAATTCTGACATGAAAGGGAAAGTTAGACACAGAGGGGTGACCAGCTGAAGCCTCAGGAGGCAGCAATGTGGCTGACATCTTGGTCTTGGCCTTGGAGCCTCTAGAAATGAGAACAGTCTGAACTAGAGCAGATCACCGAGGCCGGCCACGATTTCCTGTTAGCTGTCACAGTCCAGTGCGGGTCAGCTCATGTGCACTGCTCCATGTGGTCCGTTAGGGATCCAGGCTTCTTCCACGAGTGAAACCATCATCTCTTAGAGTTTCTATCACTGTAGATATACAAGATCTTCCAGAGTTTATTCAAATGCTGATTCCTGGGCCTCAACCCCCAGAGAATCTGCTGGAAGCCTCTGAGGTGCTGATTCCTTAACAGCCTTTCAGGGGGTGCTGATGTGGCTGGTCCAGGAACCATACTGGGAACCATGAGGGTCTGGGACTTCCATTTTTCATGAGCTTTCTGAAGTCACCGTGTGCATCATGTCAGTCCTGTTGTAATCCCTGGTCCAGCAGCTTCCGTCTCACCTGGCCAGCTTGTCTGAAGTGCAGATCCTGGGGTGAACATTCAGTATAGCAGTTAAGAATCTGCTTGGGCACCCCTACCCTGTAGCAGAGGGCTTGGGTTCGAGTTTGAGCTCTGCTGCCAAGTCCATCATCTTCTTGGTAAGGCATACCCTGGGAGGCAGGGTTCTGCCAGCCCATGTGGGAGGCCTGGGTTGAATTCTAGACTCCTGGCTTTCACCTGGCTCTGGCTGGTATGGACATTTGAGGTGTAAACCAGCAGGTGAATAATTTTTTTTCCCTCTCTTGTTCACTTTCTCTTTCAAGTAAATTTTTGAAAAAACGTCTTTAAACATGCCAATTCTCAGATCCTGCCCCAGAGTCACTGGCTCTGGGCCCCTCCGGGTGACAGCTGAGAACCCCTGGCCTGCATGACTGCAGCTCCAGTCCTCTGGTTTATTCACCGTGAGTGCAACATCACGATGGTCCGTGGTTTCTCTGTGCTGTCCTTGCTCTGACAGACATCACGGGACGAGTGTCTCTGACAGCCACCTGGAAGCTAGACTGCCAGACTGGGTGCTGAGGAGCCTCCGCTTTGTCTGTTCCCCCAGATGGTACTTTCTAGCACCTTGCACATCCTCCAGGGCCAAGAGTGCTGGAGATCTGTATGTCCTTGCCTTGCCTTCAGTTCCTGCCTGTCATTCTGAGTTCACATTCTGCAGGATGCGCTGGGAGCACATTTTCATGGAAGCTTAAGGTGCTGTCTGTTGCTAAGGCTCTGGAGGGTATGTGGGAGTAGAGCCTGCCTCCATCTCTTTCTCCCTCCATCTTCTGTTGGATGCCTTTTCTTGCCTAACAGAGGCGATCATGGTGCTTTTGGCTTCTTCAACCCCAAGAAAATACCTTTGGAATCCTTGTACTGGACGGGGCATTCCAGAGAAACAGCTGCGGAGTGTGTGTACAGGAAAGGCTAGG